TGTCAGCCCCACTGCCCCCCGAGGCCTGGGCCTCCCGACCGCATTTCAGCAGGACTGTCACGCTGAAAGGGCTCGGGAATCCCCTACACACAGGCAAACGTCCAAGGAGAAGGGAGCTAAAGGACGAGCCACTTTTGTGTACAGTATTTTGAAATCCGTGCAACCTCTTCCATAATACGCATTTTCAGTGACTTTCTGCAGTTTTTAATAACTCCCATGTTCCCATCTGTCGAAAGGCAAAATAAACTCAGCGGCCCCAGAAAACTGGAGAACTCACAACCTGCCTGCACACCAAGGACGCGGAGCAGGCCGCCCCTGCTTACTAACACGGACCCTGGTTTACTTGGTGCCCTCCAAATTCTCCTGTCCCCTCCAAACGCCATACCGAAGCTTTTCCATCCGCAAACGGAATCCCCAAGTGGAGGCAAACTGACGCCAACCTCACTCGTATGCGAGACCGAAGCTTAGCACACGCTCACACCACAGACCACCAAGTCCCGCCAAGTCCACCAGGGAACACGCTTCTATTAAGAAATGTTCTCTTGTCAGCTAGCTTACATTACTTTTGCTATAGGGCGCCTGTACTCACGAGAGAGAGAGAGATCACCCCCCAGGATCCTGTCTCCACCACCTTCCTCTTAGGAGTTTGGGCATGCCCACACATATGGCCAGAGTGATTTTCAAGTTGCCAGGTCCAGGACTTGAACTGCACATGGGCCACGTGGGGTCCAGCCCCTTAGCCTCCATGCCCCCTGCTGAGCCTCTCTTCTTGCGTTCTGATCTCACTCACTGACTCGATCTCTTCACCCTGAACTCTTTCCTAAGATTCGCAGTGGAGATTCTAGCAATCTGTTTTGGTTAATAAAATAGCTTTAAATAACAAGGGCAAACCCACAGAAGACACGGTGTGCTTCTCAGGGCCCTGCTGCCGAAAGCAGTCATCTGAAGCTACCTGAGACATCTAAGTAGCAAACACCAAAGGACTCAATATCCACCGAGATTTTGGAAAACGCTCCATTGCTTCTCTTGAACAAGAAACACAGTGGCTTGCCCTGCTTAGTTTGTAAATCTCGGGATGATTGCACTTAACTGGAATGCCTACAAAGAAAGAAACCATGTAGCCAAGCGATAGAGCCACCAAGGACTACTGTGTATCGCTCTCCTCCATAAACAGCACTAGGGTCAAAGCGGCTCATTTAACTGAGAAGACACAAGTCCCAGGGGAAGAAGACAGTTCACTGCAACTTGGCTGTGGGGAGCAATCCCGCCCGGACATCTGAAAAGGACAGACTAGCAGCGCAGAGGCACCGATTCTGTCGAAGAGCTCCCCGCCGCTGCAGTACTCCAAGAACAGGTACTGGGTGCTGCCCTCGCGCCGGTGGCCGTAGAACTTCACCACGTTCTCATGGCTCAACATCTTGTTGATGCAGATCTCTTTCTTGATGTTTTCCGGGCAGTCGGCCGCGCGCTTCATGTCCACGATCTTCACGGCCACCGCCTCCTCGGTCCTCCGGTTCACGGCCAGCTGGACTCTGGGAAGGACACCACCGCTACTCACCTGGGCCGCAGCTGTGCATCCCTGCCCAAGGAGAAGGCCGCACCTACTCCTTCCTGAAGTGGGAGGTCCCGAGGGAGGGGTCCCTGTGCTGTCCCACCCGCTGCGATGGCCACCCCCTGCAGCAGGGTTATTTAATACGCGTGTCTTCAGAGAGCCATGGGGGTGCACACTGTGGATATACACTAGGCAGGAAGTTCAGAATCTCTGCACCCCAATAAACTCATGCTTGCGTTTCGTTTTCCCACAAAGTTCTTTAACATTTCTTCCATAAGCTGGAGACGGCAGGGCAGGGACCCAACAGGTGGGGGCTCCAGGGCGGGCGGCCGAGCACGAGGGGTCACGCTCACCCACGGGCGGGCCAGGCCGGGACGCACAGGGTACCAGCACAGAGGGGCGCGGCTGCGGGGGCTGCGGGGACGTGCAGGGACGAGCAGGGACGTGCAGGGACTGCAGGGGGCTGCGGGGAGGTGCAGGGATTGCGGGACTGCAGGGACTGCGGGGCTGCGGGGACGTTCAGGGACGAGTGGGGACGTGCAGGGACTGCGGGGGGGCTGCGGGGACGCGCAGGGATTACGGGGACTGCGGGGACGTGCAGGGACCGGGGGCCGGGGGCCTGGCCGGCCGTGCCCGGCGCCCGCGCACTCACTCTCCCGAGGCGCCCCCCC